TCTTTATGTTGTAAGATTCTGTTTCTTTCTTTTTTTTAAATTGGTACTGGGGATTGAACTGTACTGGGGATCACACTGTACTGGGGATCGAACTCACAACCGCCTGCTTGCAAATCAGGTGCTTATGCTGCTGAGCTAAATCCCCAGCCCCCTATTTCTTTCTCTTTGAGACAGGGTCTCTCTATGCAGTTCAGGCTGGCCTTAGCTCACTTTGTAGCCCGCCCAGACTGGCCTCAGACTCACAACAAGTTTGTCTCATCCTTCCCAGTGCGGGGATTACAGGTGTGTGCCACATGCCCAGCACCCACTTCTGCTGATTTTGACAAGTGTATAAACGTCACTACACAATATCATGCTGAATTGCTTCAGCCCTACAAAGCCGACCATGTTCTACATATTTACCCTCCCTCCTTCCCCCTCAACTCCCAGCAATCATAATCTTTATGCTGTCTGTATAGTTTTGCCTTTTCTAGAACGTTATAAACAGCAGTTAGAATGATTTTCAGCCTGGCTGCCTCCTTCTTCTGTCTTCTTTCTTGTTGGCTTTTAAAATGTTTTTAAAAATTAAAAAATTTTCTTGGAGATAGCATCTTACCATATGATATAGGCTGACCTTAAGTTTACTACATATCCTAGATTAGTTTTAAACTTGTGATTTTCTTGCAGAGTGCTGGGAAGATTGACTTCTTTCTTTAAGCAATATACATTTCAGGTTTTTATCCTTTTATAGGGAAATAGCCTATTTCTTTTTCCTTTTTATCGGTTATTTCTTTTTATCACTAAACAATATTCCATTGGATATATCACAGTTTATTCATCTTTTAAAAGGCATGTTAATTGCTTTCAGTTTTGAGTGATTATTAATAAACCTTCCATAAATATTCATGTGCAGGCTTTTTTTTTGTCTGTTTTTTAAAGTCTTGCCCTCTAGGGGCTGGGAATTTCGCTCAGTGGCACAAGTGCCTGCCTAGCAAGTACAAGGTTGTGAGTTTGATCCCCAGTACCATAAATAAATAAATTAATAAAAAAATAAAGTCTTGCTGTAATTTAGGCTGGCCTTGAATTTCCTATATAGCCCAGGCTTGCTTCTCGCTTTCATCGATCCTCCTGCCTCAGCCTCTTGAGTGCTGGAATTACAGGTGTACACCATCAGGCCCAGCCATGTTGAGATTTTGTGTGTCATAAGATTTCATCTTAATTGGCAAAAATCTAGGAATATGATTGCTGGTAAGTCTGTGTTTAGCTTTGTAAGAAGATTGCCTGACTGGAGCTAGAAGGATAGTTCAGTGATGGAACCTTGCAAGTGTGAGGCCCCAGGTTCAGTCCCTAGCACTTCAAACAATCACAAAAAAATCTGCTTGGTGGAGTGGTGCATGTCTATAATCCCAGCGCTCAGGAGACTGAGGTAGGAGGATTGCCATGACTTTGAGACCAGCCTGGGCTATGTACAAGACTAGACTCAACTGCATAGCAAGACCCTGTCTCACAAAACCAAAATGACCAACCAAACCCTGCTAAGCTGTCTTCCGAAGTGGTTTCAGCATTTTATATTCTTATCAGTAATGAAAGTTCTTGTGTAATATACTGACTAGTGTTTCAAGTTGTCAGCTTTTTGGACTTCAGCATTTCTAATAGGCGTGGTGGGACCGTATGAACCATAGTAAAGTGCACAGTGCATTGACATTAAGCAGTTTCAGATTGTTGTGTCATCGTCACGAACATCTATTCATAGAACTCTGCATTTTGCAAAACAGAAACACTGCACATAATACACAAAAGCTTTCCATTCTTCTCTGTCCCTGAGCCTGGAAAACACCATTCTATTTTATGTCTCTATGACTTTGACTACTCCAGGTACTTTTTCTATATGAAATCATACAGCATTTGCCTTTTGTACGTGTTTATGTCACATTATCATAATGTTCCCAGGGTACACCCATGCTGTAGCATGTGTCAGAATTTCCTTCCTTTTGAAGATTAAACTCCCTTGTGTACAGACCACATTTTTGTTACCATCATCCACTGGTGGACACTTAGATTGCTTTCATGTTAGCTATTGTAATACTTCTATGAACAGTGCCATACAAATATCTCTTGAGTCCTTGTTTTCAATTCTTTTGAGTATTTATTCAGAAGTGGAATTTCTAGATCATATGGTAACTCTATTTTTTAATATTCTGGGGGAAATGCCATCCTGTTTTCCATGGTTGCCATGACATTTCATTTTCCTCCAACAGTGATCAAGGGTTCCCTTCTTTCCACATCCTTCCTAACACTTACTTTAGGAGTAAACATCCTGGTGCATATGAGGTTTTATATTATTGCAGTTTGTCTTTACGGTGAATTTCAATGGTGTGTGTGCTGGCTATCAGTATCAGGCCAGAGAGAAATAATTCCTTGGATATAAAACTTCCTATTAAAAATTATTAGAATTTTTACTATTTTTCTTTGGGATAAAGCACACCTACTTGTAAACTTTAGTAAAGTGTTTAATTAATCTGGCCATTTGGGTGACTATTTCTAATTTCATTTTGGTTAGAACTTTTTTTTTTGGTCTTTTTTGTTTTTATCGGTACCAGGGATCGAACTCATGACTGCCTGCTTTCAATGCAGGTGCTTATGCCGCTGAGCTAAATCCCCAGCCCCCTAGAACTTTTTTCTTTACCAAAAAGTATTTTATTACACTTTTTTTTTCTTTTTTCTTTTTACCAGTACCAGGGATCAAACTCATGACTGCCTGCTTGTAAGGCAGGCACTTATGCCACTGAGCTAAATCCCCAGTTTCTGATTTAAGAAACTTCTAGGATACCACCAGTTACATTTGAATTTGATTAGTTTCAATTCTTTGGGCCAAAACACGTATTAAACAAGAGGTTTAAATTAGGAGTATGTGTTCCAGAGTCACACTGAGTTCAAAATCTAGTTTACTGCTACCCCAGTACCAGCCCAAACTGGTGAGTCTGTAGACAGCTATTTAACTTCTGTTTCACTTTTTATAGTGTGCAAGTACTTATAACAAACCTAAGTAAGTACACAAAGACATTTGATCTCCGTTTGACACTTGGTGAAACATTCTCTGCAGGCACCACCTGCCCCAGGCTCACTGAGGCTATGGAAAATGCTGCAGTAACTAACCCAATACTCATTCGGACTTTTAAATACAAACGTGGGCATCTTTCACATCATTATATTGCCTGCCAATTTAAAATAGAATGGAAGATTTGCCATTCAAAATTGTAATGAATATATAATGTAACTGCATATGAATAAATGGGCTTGAGATATGGTTGGGACAATTCATAAATATTTGTGAGGTCTGCAGGAATGTGAGAAGGCAATTTTTTAGAGCAGTTAGCATATACTTCAAATACTATTCTATATTTTACAATGACTCTTAATCCTCACAACTGCATTGTGACTAGGTATTAAGAGGAAATGAAGCCCAACCTAATAATTCCCAAATACACAGAATATACAGCATATTTGCTTCTGTATGTTGATTTCAGTGTATGAATCTACACGATAAAACGACACAGAAGTATACGTACATAATTCAAAGGTCAAATCTTTTTTCTTTTTTGCGTTTGAGACAGGGTCTCTCATGTGATTTACGCTGGCCTGAATTCACTATGTAGCCCAGGTTGGCCTTGACCTCTAGGCAACCCTTCTGCCTCAGTTTCCCAAGTGCTAGGATTACAGGAATCGAAGTCAGGATTTTGCACTTGCCAGGCATGGGCTTGTGCTGCTGAGCTATAATCCTGGCCCCAGCTCCCTGCTTTTGATTGTGTATTAAAACTATGTACTTTGGGGGCTGGAGATTTAGCTCAGTGGCATAAGCACCTGCCTGGCAAGCACGAGGTCATGAGTTCAATCCCCAGTACCAAAAACCCTCCCAAAACCCTGTAGTTTGCAACATTGGGGGAAACAAGGTGAAGTTTTAATTTTAAGAAGTACAGTTTATAGAATGTCCTTCAATTTCGGTCTGTTCAGCATTATATTTGGGGGTTATAGATTTGGTAAGTAGACCACATGGATCTGTATTATTTTTGCAACTGTTAATTTAACAATTTCAAAATAAAATATTAAAAAAATTCAGCAAAGGATGTTTACTACTATCCTTCCAATATCCATGCGACTCTATTACATAACTAGAGTTACTTGGAATGAAGATAGGGAAACTAAACTTTACTCCAGCACCTCGTATCTTTTGTTTTAAAATTATGCACTGCAAACATACAATCAAAATAAATTTTGGGGGAAAAATTTATTGATATTTAGTGACAGATTTCTTACTTTTTGCATAAGCTAAGTACCTGCTGTACCTGTAGCTATATACTCAGCCCCTATCAGGCAGGCAGGCGAGAGCAGGGTCTCGCTACGTAGTCCAGGCTGGCCTCTAACTCACTGCGATTCTTCCTGCCTCAGCCTCCCAAGTGCTGGAATTAGAGCGTGCCAAGAAAGCCCAGATACGTGGCATTTTTGTTCAACCCTAAGATTTAGAAACAGAGGAGTCAGGCGTCATAAACGCCCCAGGATCGGATGGTCGTTCGTGTCTTTCAAGCCAAACTGGAGGCTAGTCAGAATGTTTATTCTGAGGAGAACCTGGGCCAGATCCGGCCACCCGAGACAGCCGCGACACGCGCGCTGAGACCCGTCAGAGCGCAGCTGGAGCAGCTGCAAAGGAGCTCCCGGAGCACCAGGAAGGTGGCATAGGCAGAGGTTCCCGCCTAGCGGAAATACTCGGAGGCCCAGACCCACCCTCCTCGCGAGAAATGGGGCGCCGGGCCGAACTCCAACAGAAGCCACTCCCGGAGCTCCTAAAAGGAGGCTGGGACGTTGAGGACGCAGAGCTGGCCCGAGCAGAAGCGCGTGGCACGCGCGAGCCTCCCCGCGCATGCTCCGCCCGCATGCTCCGCCCGCCGGCTCCCGCCCCCAGCGGGCCCCGCCCCTTTACTCCCCTCCCCCTCTCGCCTCTCTTTCTCCTCCCTCCCAGCCGGCCCTTCTGGCTGGGCGGCGGACGTTTCGCGTGCGTGAGGGCGCCTGACTTCATTTCCGGCTAATGCGCTCCGCTTGCCCCCTGGCCCCGGATGGTGACTGGCGGTGCTGCTGCACCTCCCGGGACTGTCACTGAGCCGCTTCCCAGTGTGATTGTGCTGAGCGCAGGCCGGAAGATGGCGGCTGCGGCTGCGGCAGCCTCGGGCCCGGGCTGCTCGGCGGCGGCGGGGGCGGCTGGGGTCTCGGAGTGGCTGGTGCTGCGGGACGGCTGCATGCGCTGCGACTCCGAAGGCCTGCACAGCCTCTCGTACCATCCGGCGCTCAACGCCATCCTGGCCGTCACCAGCCGCGGGACCATCAAAGTCATCGACGGCACCTCGGGGGCCACCCTGCAGGCCTCGGCGCTCAGCGGTGAGTGTGCCGCACGCCGGGCGGGAGCTGGGCTGGCCGCGGGAGCAGGCAGCCGGCGGGATACGGGGCGGAGAAGCCGCCCAGCCCCGGGGCTCGGCTCCGGAGGGTAGCGGGTGGCGGGCGGGCAGGGCTGGGGGTCGGGGCCTTGTTGGGAAGCGAGGCCCGGAAGTGGACGGAGCGGGGCCTCGGGGCTTGGCTTTCTCGGCGGCGACGGCGAGGCCGGGAGCTGTGGGAGTTGCCTCGGGCCCGGCGCGTCCCGGCAGCTTGGTCCTTAGGGAGGGCTGAGGGGAGCTTGGCGCTGGAACAGGCCTGGCCGCCGCCTGCGACGTGGGCACAGGCGGGCGGCGGGCTGGAAGGATGGGAGCGGGCGGGAGAGGCTGGTGGCCGGAGCCGAGGGCCGAAGAGCGTCGAGCGGCCGAGCCGGGGTCCCAGCCCGCCCTTCCGGCGGAGAAGCGGCCGGCCGGCCGGCAGTCGTGAGTCCCGCAGGTGCGGGCGCAGATCGCAGCTTCGCGCCGGGGCGGGGCGTGCGGAGCCCGTGGGGATAGCGGGGGGAGAGGAGGCCGGCTGCCTGGACAGTTGGGTCGCGGCTGTAGGGCCCAGGCCGAGGGGAGCATGAATACAGACCCAGTTTCATAGGTCCGGGCTCCCAACTTTCACTCCTCCCACCCGTAAGCTCAGGAGGTGCAGTGTGTGAAATATTCGTTCTTTTCGGTTTGTAATTGTTAGGTGAAACTTTAGGCCGTCTCAACTTGGGTTACTACGGCAAGCCAAAAATTGGGATTTGGAGGTTATGTCTGAGTCTCCGCGCTGGAGTAGAGCACTTCTGGGTAGTGTAAAAATTGATTCACGGTTACGACGTAGAATGTACGAGGTGAACGCGCAGTGGACAGCTGGAATGTTTTGGAATTGCTTTGGCCAAATTGCTTTTGGTTGAGATGACATTTTTGGGTAAATGAGTGACTTAATTTGGATATTACAGGTTAAGAATAAATAGTGAATCAGGGCCAAAGATACAGCTCAGCAGCACAGCGCCTGCTTGGCATGTTGGAGGTTGAGAATTCGATTCCTGGTACCAAAAAGAAAGTTGATAAATGAGTTGAGACTCATGAACAGAGACTTAGGGTATCTAAGTCTGCGTTGAGCCAGATGGAGATAAGTTTGCTGATTAATACAGCATTTATAAAGAGTAAATGGTAATTTAGGGATACAAAAATGAAATTAGAGATGTTTATTTTTATTGATGTTAAACCTGCAAAAGGATTAGCTTGTATATACTTATAGAATATGAACCTGGAATATACCTAAGAGGTATGTTTAAGAGAAAGTTTTGGATGGTAGACTTATTTTATTTGGTAAATGACAGGAAGAGTGTTACAGAAGTAGCAATGGTCATTTATTGCAACTCAGAGGAAACTTGTTACTGTGGGAGGAGATAGTAATTGGATTTTTAAAAATTCCTTAAACTGTTTCACATATGAAAAGGAATAAAGAGTAATTACAGTGAACAGCCATGTATCCCCTACTCACCCTGAGAATAAAACATTACAGAGTAGTAGAAGTCTTCCTTGTGTGTGTCCTGGATTGCATTCTGTTGATTCTTCTTCCCCTCATCTTTTCCCCCTACAGTCCTAATTTGGTTTTATCATTGTCATACATGTCTATGTTTCTTAATAAGATGTTAATGTTCATGATTTTTAAGAATAAGTGATATGTATCTTCATATAGTGTACACTAGGATTTCTACAGAAAGTAAGACATCTTCAAGTGTTTTGGATATAGAAGTTGCTTGGGGAGTGGTTTTTGTGTCTGGAGGCCATGTTTGAGAGTAGTTGTGTGTGTCAGGGTTTATTAAAATGATTGTATAGCCGGGAATTTAGCTCAGTGGCATAAGTGCCTGCCTGGCAAGTGTGGTCATGAGTTCAATCCCCGGTAACTCCCCCCCCCCAAAAAAAAAAGATTGTATATTTATGTGGCTGTATATGGAAAGAAAGAAAATACTTGAGGGTGTAGATTACTAAAGAGGAAGGTTTTAGGTATGTAATAACATGAAGGTAGAGGCATAAAATGTAGCACTGTTCGAAGATAACTTAGTTGACATACGTTGAGGCATTTGTTAATTAGAAAAGTATTGGATATGATTGCAGAGGCCTATGTATAAGAACTGTGTGATTAAAAATACGTAGAAGACCATGGCATGGTGGCATATGCTTATAATTGCAGGTACTTGGGAGGTTGAGGCGGAAGGATGTTAAAGTCAAGGTCGACAGGGGCAATTTAGCAAGACCCTGTCTCAAAAAAAGGGTGAGAGTGAAGTGTGGGACTTGTCCTAGTGGTAGAGAGGTCTTGCCCAGTATGCTCGAGACTGAATGTTCAATCCCCAGTACCAGGATTTAAGTAGGGGTAGGAGTGGGGAAACAGTGTAAAAGTAATGGATAAACTTTGAACCATTTTATTTTTTCTAATTTTTTTGAGACAGTGTCTTGCTATGTAGTTCAGGCTGACCTTGGACTCACTATGTATCCCAGGCTGGCTCTGAACTTGCAGAGATCCTCCTGCCTCAGCCTCCCAAATTCTGAAATGACAGGCATGTGCCATATGACCAGGCTTCAGCCTCGATTTTTGAAACATTTTGCATTATTTAACTTTACTAATAATAATTACCTGAGGTTGGAGAGGGGCTTATGTATATAATTGTTCAGATGATTAAGGGGAAGGGATGCTGCGTTTTTAGGTATGTTGTAAGTTTGCTTTTTTTTTTTTTTTTTTAAATAGGTTTGCTTTTAGTGCTTAATAGAGACTAACAGTCCTAAAAATAGACTAGAGGGGGTGGAGGTGCCAGTATGATCATAGCCCTAACATAACCCCTTTTTATTTGATGGACAGTAAGCCACTTTTCTTTGTACCCCAGAGAAAGACAGCTTGAGGGAATGAAGAGTGGTATGAACCTACAGATTTTTATCAGGAAACTGGTATTGCATATGTACAAGGTTTAGTTTATGGGACTGGGGATGCTCGTTAGTGTGCATTGGGAATTAAAGGATGGGAACAGAAGTTGTATGTGTATGTCTTCAATTAGAGGGTAATGATGATTTTATTTTATTTTTTAAAATTTTTATCGGTACCAGGGATCGAACTCACAACTGCCTGCCCAGCCCATGGTAACGATGGTTTTAAAAAACTATCTGTGTGTCCTCAAATTACTCATAGCCATTATATTTTAGTGTTTTTTTTTTTTTTTTTTTTTTAAATCGGTAATCAAACTCAGGTCCTTGCCTTGCCAGGCAGGTGCCGTGCCACTGGGCTATATCCCTAGCTCCTGTGTTTGTACTATAAAATGTTCATAAGGCTCTATAAGTACACTTTCATTAGGTGAGTTGTTTCATGGGTAGTGTAAGTATAATATTTAAGAGTTGAGGGTTCTTAGTGTGTGAATGTATGTGTAGGCGTATGTGTAAGAAAGTGTGTGTGTGTGTGTGTGTGTGTGTGTGTGTGTGTGTGTAACATTGGGAATTGAACCCAATACCTTCACATGGAGTTACATTATTTTTTTATTTTGTTACTGGAGATTGAACCCACGACCTTGAGCTTGTCAGGCAGGCACTTATACTGCTGACCCCAGATCAGCACCCCTCTTCTTTTTTTGAGTTAATCTTAACTAAATTGCCCTGGCTAGATTGAACTTGAGATTCTTCTGTGTCCGCCTTCCATAATGCTAAAATTCAGGAATGTTTCCATACCTGGTTTATTCTCATTTGGTCTCAGTGTTTTTACTAACCAATAATTCGGGTTTTGGACTGCATCAGGTTCCCTCCAGTTAATCAGGCACATGTTACCCTTTTTCAAGACTTAGAACACAACTGACCTTGTTGATATATTCAGTAACAAATGAACTCCTGGGCACAAATTGCTTTATGTCCCTGTTGCTTTTTTCTTAGATATTTAAATGGTCATTTTATTTAGTTTTTTTTTGAGACAGGGGCTCACTGTGCAGTTTATGTTTTATTTATTTATTTAGATACTGGCGATTAAAGTCATGACCTCACCCTCGCTAGTTTGGCACTTACGTGCCTAAACTAAACCCCAGGCCTTCAGTATGGAGCTTAGGCTGGCCTCAAAGGCATGGTGGTCCTCCTGTGTCAGCCTCCCAAGAGCCAGGATTACAGGCACACCTGGAAATTTTATTTAGTTCTTTGTAAATATATGCTTTTCATATTTCAGACTTTGTGTGGGAAGGTAACTTGTTTACATGTTTTTATCCCCTTCCCAGAATGCCTAGTACAAAATATTAACTCTAATATTTTTTGTTTACTTACATATTAATTGCAAAATAAAGATACACTTTTGAAAAATTAATTAATTAACACTAAATCACTAATTTATAGTCCTGGAGCTTTTCTGCAGGGTTTTTTTTGGGGGGGGAGAGAGGTACAGGAATCAAACTCATGACCTTGAGATTGGCAGGCAGGCGCCTATGCCACTGAGCTAGCTCTCCAGAGTTGTTTTTTTATCTTTATTTTTTATTTGGAGATGAGCTCTCACTAAGTCGCCCAAGTGGAATTGGAACTTGAGGTCTCCTTGACTTAACCTCCTGAGTGCTGGAATTTTTAGGTGTGCACCTGGCTAAAGATATTCTTTGACTTTTGTGTACTTTTTATTCTTTGACTTTTAGAAAGACTGGTTTTAGAGCAGTTTTTGGGTTTACACCAAAATAGAGCAGAAAAAAAGACTTTCTGTGTCTCCTCTGTCCCTACACCTGTAAATCTGCGACTCTCACATGGGGCACCACCCCAGGCATATACAATACAATAGATGGACCTGTGTTAACAAACAGTACTATCCAGAGTCTACAGTTTTCATTAGGGATCACTCATTGTGTCATATATTCTATAGGTTTGGACAACAGTATAATGACACGTGTCCACTATTCTATTTTACAGAACAGTTTTACTGTGCTAAAACATCCTTTGATTTGCCTTTTCATCCTTACTTTTCTCTAGCAA